AGAGAGAGAGAGAGAGAGAGAGAGAGAGAGAGAGAGAGAGAGAGAGAGAGAGAGAGACCTACGCCAACGAAATGGAGTGACGAGAAGAACGCTCGCGCCAAAAAGCAAAGCACTGCGGGTGGCAACGTGGCATTACCAAACAACCCCAACCGTGAAGCGCCACGTTGCCGACAATCGAAGGACTAAGCAAACAACAGACGCGCGATGAACACAGGCGATGGCCGAAAATCGCCAACGGTCGCAGGAATTCTGCTCCACCGCACGCGAAGCTCCTGCGTTGCTATCCTGTGCATCTGCTTGGGCCCAGCCCGGTACCGTACCCTTCCGCGTGAGCGTCGTTCAAACCCAAAAATATGCCACACAACATCTGCCACACGAAACCGGCAGGCCGCACAACACACGACCAATGTCCGGGTGGACGACTTCGGGAAGTAGGTCTATTGTCACGCCCATACATTTCCGACGCAAATCCAGAAAAAAAAACGAATATCGTGGACTGGTGGGATCCCATTTCTCTTTTACGGTCCGCCCGGAACGGGCCCTACAAAACCGTTCTTTTTCGTGTCTTTCCAAAAAGAATAGAGGTGGGATCAGCCTCTAAGAGGAAAATTGCATTTATACTGGGGGCCAAGTCCCACCTGTCCAGATCCTTCGTTCCCGACAGTAGGTCGCAGAGATCCTTGGTCCCAAATTAAGAACTCCCGCAGGTGGGACTTGACCCCCATACAGAAGAGATGGAAACACCCGCTATACCAAGACCCACGAAAAGTGCACCTAGACCCGGGAAATGGCCTCTTCAAATTATTTGCATATCGGGACCAGAGTGGGTGGACGTTGGTACGCGCAATTGCAGTTATACCCACTAACTGGAGTGCCCAAATTATGCACATACCCATTCAACTTATGTGCACATTCAATTTTGCCTGCCCGGCTTAGGCCCATGAGCACAATTTTGTGCTCTCCAACCTGACTGGGTACAGGTATAGTTTGGCACATTGGAAAAGTATATTACACCAGTATATCCGAGGAGAGCCTGAATTTGGAGACTTTTTTTTTTTTTTTCTTTTTCTTTTTTTTTCTTCGTTTTTGGAAGGGGCAGCCAGTGTTGTATGATCCAGGCACTCCAGCCTGGTTCATACGATGGCTGCTTTTGAATTATACAACCCACTTTTGAATTATACAACCCACGCAATGGGTCCGGCACAGGTCCGGCGCCCCTCACATCACAGAAAAGATTGCAGGGTAAATTGTTTCCTTTGGCCGTAACCATGTCACCCTCAGCAAGGCAATGATCCCTTTTTTTTTTTTTTTTTTTTTCCCTTTTTTTTTTTTAACACACCCCCTGCGGTGCTAGTGCTGCTGGTAAGAGCAGGCATCACTAGCACCCGGGGAGAGGCTCCATCTATTGGTGGGGAGCGTCACCTGCTGGAAAACAGGTCCAGCGTCCCTTACACTGAAAGAATCAGGATGAATCAGGACAATGTCAGGAAAATGACTGAGAAGGTCGCCTGCCAGCGTTGATTGCTCTGTTTCAAGAGGATTGACTGTGCAGGTTGTTGGGAAACAGGAATAAACCTCTTCGCCCTAAACCAGGCGCCAGATTCCTAGTGCTGAGAGACTAGTTTCTCCCTCTCCCAACTCTCTTTCACCAAACAAGAAAACAACTTTACCCCCTAATCCCGCACTATCAATCACTCTTTTCCATTCTTACATCCACAGGCCTCTCTAACTGCACACCACTTGTCTGTTTCACCTTTCCTTCCTCCCTTTTCCTCTCCAACTGCATACTGCTGGTCGACTTTGTTAGTTTTTGAAGATCAGTGGCTCTTCTGCACCGTCAGGGCCTCCATTCGCTCATCACCAACCTTACTCTGGGGGGCACTAGAGGGTTGGTGGTTGTCTTATTGTCCTAAAACCACTGCGTCCTCCAGATGTGATCGTCACTCGATGCGTTCTCTACTATTGCCAGGGCATTTGGGGGGAAGGGGTCTAGGAAGTCTTGTGGGGAGCAGAGGGGTACTGCCGGGTCCAATTTTGTCCAGTTCTTGAAAACTAACTTATGATCCCTGTGTAGTGTCCCCTTATTTCCTTGGTCTGTTTCTGACTCATTTCCTCTCTTTTTCCCCTCCCGTTTTACCGATGTCATCCATCCTCCTTGTTCACTCCCCAGCCATTCCCTGCTATAGGCGTCAATTTTCTTTTGTATTTCTAAGGTGTTGTTCAAGATGGCCAATTTACCTCCTGTCTCCTGCTATCTTGACTACAGTTCTGTTTGTATTTGTGATTTTATTTGCATTGTTGCTTCCGATCCTTCCACCCTTGCTTTGTCTATGGTC